CTGTTGTTGAAAGCATATTCACATGAGAGAGCTCTTGGTTTGAATAGGCAAAATTATATCTTGTCTGTGGTCTATGTGCTACTAAATAGTTTTTAAATCTGAATTATTAATTAAAACCTGTGAACTAGTAACATTTTGAAACGACTGTGTTTTGATAGCTAACAGGACTTGTGTGACTTTTGAGAGGAGTTGATTTCCTTTCATGTCAGCTAATAGAAACCCCATTGTAATCATAAAAAGCACAGAGAAATTATGTTGCAAATGGATACTATTTAAGCAGAAGTGAACACAGAATATATTAAACTATCAGTGGCCTTATCAACACTGTGTTATGATGACTTCTGATTAACGCTGAAAACATGATTGATGTTGCTGGACTGTGGGGCACTGACAATGTGACACTGAGAAATTTCAATCCAAAGCTTGTTAATTTCATAGAATCATTCTATTTCTCATTACTCCTTTGTGACAGTGTTTGTTTTTATGACTATTAAAAAGTAATGACAATTTAATGGGAGCTTTCAAAACTAATAGTCAAGGAAAAATACTCTTAAAATTTGTTAGGTTGATTTTTCTTGAGGAATCTTATTTAAACTGATGTAAACCAAAGTTATAAAACACAAGTCAAGGCTATCGTTACTTTATTTTACTTTATTTTTGTAGCTCTAGGGATTGAACTCAGGGCCTCACGTGTGCTATTCAAATGCTCTCCCAGTGAGTTATAACCTCAGCCCCAATAGTTTATGTTGAGGCCATTAACATAGATTGGCTGATTCAGTTTTCCTGGAACCAAAGAATAAAGGGAGCATATTTGATTTAAAATACTCTGTGGGAAGCATTTCAGGCATGGCAGGTCCTAAATTACTATACAGCTAATGATTACTGCTTGAGAACAGGTGGGGAGAGGGAAGGTATAGTTAGGGATAAGTTGAGTCCATCCTGATGAAATATTTTTATCATTATAAGAGAGAATATATGATTTGCTAAATGTAAATATCCTAGTGCATCTGTTGCATAAAACTCTTTTACTTTACACAGATAGAAAACCGTGTGTTTAAAAAAATACTTATTTGGGAAACAATGTAGTTAGAAGACAAACAATGCTTCAAATAAAATCATCCCTACAAAAAAACATTTCTGGCACTAGTATGGACCATTTGACTTGTATTTTTAGATTAGTGTATTTATGCTTTACATTAGTCAGAGGAAAACATGATAGTTGGCCCTCTCCACTTAGAATGTCATAATCATAGTAATTGCTGCTAGTGTGATTGCAGTACCTACTCAATTCCAGGCTGTCCTCTAGATTTTTAAAATTAATTATTCCACTTAACCCTATAAGAGCCCTGCTAAATAGGAATGTTACTTGTGTCCTCTACCTTCTCAAATGATTTACTGAATACTCTCCTATCAGTTTCATTGAAAAATTTGAAACCACTGCTCAAAACATTCTTATTTAATCAGCATCCACTTTGTGATCCCTCTGCTTTCTATTGGTATGTATATTCACTTTCTGGATTCTTTGTTCCTTATGAAGTCCATCCACTGGGGTCTGATAACTTTAAGGATTTAATGTGCTGAATCATCAGTGTCTTTCTTTATTTGATCACTTAGAATAGTATAGCACTCTCATGCTCCAAACACTTTTATGTTCCTCCTAAATCTCATTTCCTATTCATAGCCAACTTGAAGGCATTTGCATGCCTATGATCTCCTTGTCCTTATCTACTATCTGTTCCTCAATTTATATTGGCTTCCTCCCAAAACTCTACTGAAATTATTTTGTCAAGATCAAATATGACTAATAGCTTTTTCTTTCCACATCTTATTCTACCTCTTATTTGCTGCTTCCATTGTATTTATTTTCTCCCTCAGCCCCTCCCCCATATATCAGTAGTTCTTTACTTCCAAATTGTCAAGACTTTGAGAGTTTGATCTTAAACAACCATTCACTATGTTGCTCATGGCAAAAATTTGAGTGTCATCCCATAGGGATTACACACATTCCTATGACTTAAATTCATTTTATATGCTGGTAAGTCCCATTTGTATAAATTCTGACCTCCTCTGTGTTTAAGCAGCAGGCATTTCATAGCCTTTATAACATTATCAATTAGATAGCTCATGGGTAATACAAATTAAAATATCAAAATAGAACTCTAGTATTCCTTCAATTAGTACCAATAATTTATTCTAGTACACCACAGGAAAGCTGCTAAAAATAAACCTAAACACACAAATACATAATACATAATCTTTTTAAAATTTTAAAAAGTACAGTATAAGTACAGATTTTATAATGTCCACTTCCACATTCTCTTATCCACTCCTTTGAGATAAACAATGCAAATAACTTTTAACAATCCATTCTATAGGTTTTCTATGACAATTTAATGAGATATTCTTGTGTAAGTTTTTCTTTAATAATAGTATAATGTCGCAGAAATATTCAGCATTTTTTTTCTTGGCAGTATGATACTGCCAGGCATGGTGGCACATGCCTGTAACCCCAGTATTTGGGAAGCTGAAGCAGGAGGATTGTCACAAGTTCAAGGCCATCCCAAACTACATAGTGAGACCCTGTCAAAAAACAAAACAAAACAGGATGACATTTATCAATCCTTTTTGATTAATACCTTATTTCATTGAGGACCTGAAATCTGTACATGTTCTAAATATCATTCATCTGTTTACATTGATATTATTAGCTTATTGATTTGTCTAGAAGTATTGTCTTTGCATTTTTAATTCCGTCCATGTGTTATAACCCTTCAAAATGAGCTAGACATGGTGGTACATGCCTGCGATCTCAATAGTTTAAGAAGCTGAGGTATAAGGATCTCAAGTTAAAGCCCACCCTGGCTGACTTAGCAACTTAGTGACAGCCTATCTCAAATTTTAAAAAACAATAATAATTTAAAAAAATAAAGATCTGGGGATGTAACCTAATGCAAAGGCCCTGGGTTCAACTTCCAGTACTGAAAAAAAAAAAAAAGTCTGCCCTCCACTTCCATCTCCTTGAATTCTCACCCACGATGCACCAATAACATTGACTTTTTTTCAAAACTGTGAAACTCCCCTGCATTTTCCACATCTAGACTTTTTAGTCCTGCCTGCTTTCTCTTCTGGAAGGAATGTTTTCCTTGCCCCATATCCCCAGTCCACGGTTGTCTTTCTCATCCATGAGATCTGTACTCTTTATTTACAGTCTGTCTTAGGATAAAGGTTCACCTGCTATAACAAAGAAATCCCAAAATAAACACCTCAAACAAATTTTGGATCAACTATGGTTCTGCTTCATGCAGTCACTTAAGGGCTCAGGCTAATAGTGGCTTTTTAGTGTTCAAGAGGTGGCTGCCAACAACTCTTGTATCATTGACAATCCAGATGATGGGAGAGATAGATGAGTAGGGAATATTAAAATTTGTGGAAATGCTCTCTCAAAAAATAAAAGAGAGATGCTATCCTGTTTCTGCCTGCCGTATTAACCTACGAAGAAATGTGGGAAAAATAATCTCTAGGTAGACAAGTATGTTTGACTTTCATGTCCCCTGTTATGGACGAGAGAAGGATAGATCTTCATGGACAACAATCTCCCGAACCGCTATCACAATTTGTGAACAATATATTTATCAGGTAAAAGGGCCGAAAACCCACACCAGACTAGGCCACAACAAGCCTTTTAGGGGAATAGATCTGCCTGGCTGTCTCTGAATAGAGAGACAAAAGCAATATGGCTAGGGCAGGGAGAGTCTTTTATAGAGACTGGGGTGGGGTTTGTAGGGGCTGAGGCGGGGTTGAGTGAGGTAGTGGTTAGGGAGTGCAGGAGCCCATGAAGTCACTAGGAGGTAGGAGGTGAGTGAGTATTAGGTTACTCTCTAGGTGGGACCAGGGGCATGCTGGGAAGAAGGGTTTGTTCTTTGGTGGGAGCAACCATCTTGGCATGACGTCACACGGGGGAGGGGGCAAGGCACCATAGGAAGAGCGCAGCTACTATACATAATAGCTGCTGAGGTAGTAGGAGACCTATCAATATTCATTTGTTTTGTAACGAATCTTCTGGGCTATTAGATGGTAAACATAGTAAGAGAAAGGAATGTGCTTGCTTTACTTAACAAATATATCTTACACATTAATAGCATTCCTGTGTTTCAGTAATTGACTGCATTAATGAATAAATAAAAAGATTTTACAGGTGAAGAAATTAAGGTTCAGAGAAGTTAGTAAGTTACCCATTTCTAGAAGATGAGTGACATCTTCCAGGAACATAAATTTATACTTTAGATGGATGGCTTATCAAGATAAGCTTTCCTCTATGAAGTTTTCCTCTAATTCTAATACTAATACTAATTCTAATAATTCTAATAATACTAATTCTAATACTCTAATTCTAATACTAAGCTTTCCTCTAATTTTGTATGTCAAGTACTCTTTGATTTAAGAAATCAAAACATTCCAAATAAGATCAACAAGGAACTTTGTGAAGGAAAAGATCAAGAAAAATTTGAAAAGATACTTTTTGTGTCACTGATTTTATCATATGGATATTTTTCTGTCACATCACTAAATCTTAAATTCTCACAGACTCCATCCATTCCCATTAAAATAGCAACCATTAACCCCAGATGTTAGAAGACCACAGCAAACTCACTACATACCTTTCTTAAAATCATACCTCTCCTGGATAGGAAGAGTAAATATGTGCTGGGCTTAAAAGATTTCCTGCTAGGCTACAATTGTGAGAATAAATAGTAAACAGAAAGTAAGTAATATCAGAAAATGCTTCTATCATACATTGAGTTTAATTATATTACAAAGAAAGTTGGAAAGCAATGCAAAATTTTGAGAATGAAAATCAATACAGATTAATTGATCAACAACATCTGGTCAGCCAAGTATGAGTATCCATTACTCATAGTAATAAAAAATAAGTTACAGATTCTACTTTATTTCTCCTGCAAAGTAACTAATTCTAAACAATTTTTTCTGTATTTTCCAAGATATTGAAGACTTTGAAACCAAAACAAGAAGCACAGTGTCTGTTCGAGAAGGTCAAGGCGTAGTGCTTCTCTGTGGGCCACCACCACATTTTGGAGGTACAGTGGGGGTAATTTGTGAGAAATTCATGTGTAAAGAGATTAAAGGGAGTGTCTTGGTTACTTTCTCATTGCTGGGACGAAATACCTGACACCCATAAGTTAAAGGAGAAAAGGTTTATTTTAGTTCACATTTTTGAGGTTTCAATCCACAGTTGACTGGCTCTAAAATCAGTTGGCATGGCAGAGGAGAAACAGTCTGTGGCTTGACAGGCAAGAACCAGCTGGAATCAAGACAGGAGGAGAATATATATATAGATATATAGATATATAGATATATATCTATATATATATCTATATCTCCTTCCAGGCCACACCCATAGTGACCCATTTCTTCCTGCCAGGATTCACCTCTCAACATCACATCCAGCTATAAACCCATCAGTGGACTAATCCAATGTCACACACCCATGATCCTATCACCTCCCCAAATCCCAAAAGCTCCACTTATGAGTGCTTGAGGCTTTGGGGGAGCATCTAGATATCTGGTAATAGAACCCATAATATCTGTAAATACAATAAAAAGAGCCATAGACACTCTTCAAGCTCATCTACTGCATCGAAACACTCCAACATTCAAATGTTTTCTTTTGAAAATATTATTCAAGCAACTGCTCCACAATTATATCCTTAATGAGATAAACATGACAAGATATAAAGTTCTGGTATTGAAACTTTGTTTTGAAACAGACTGCAGCTATAATCTGGTATTGTGACATACAGTCCATGACAAGGGACAATTTATTTAATCCCCTTCAAGCCTTAGTTGCATTATCTGTAGATTAAAGATAATAACCAATATTTGTATTGATTGCCATTACATATGTTAAATGAGCAAAGGAGTACAAATTGATTAGTGTAATGGTCAGTATTTCATTAAAAAAAGAAAGCCGAACCAAGATGCATCATGTAAAGGTACAAGTTCCCAATGAGAAATGTAATTGTGTTGTATACCTAAAATGTACCAATAAAAGAATTTAAGAAAAAAAAAAAGCCAAAATTGTTATTTCATTTTAATTTTTGGATTCTATGCAAAGCAAATTCCAGCACTCCTCTAGGCCACATCAGATTAACTGTTGGGAAAGAGAGGTACCCCATCAACTGGAAGGGAATTTTGGATAACATCAAATTATAATATCTCTTAGCAGTGGTTAAAATGAAACAATAAATGGTAATCTCTATTTGGAAGAGTCAGATTGGCTAATAAATTAGTCTAGTGCCAGAAATCCAAACTTCCTGATGATTTTGTTCCCTGAGGATTACAATTTTTTTTCAAATTCCAAATGTTATGGTAAAGTTGGTAATGATTCTCAACTGGAACCTGTAGGTGAAAATATCCATGAACTCTTTAATTTAGTACGTTACATTATACTCATTATAGCAGAGAAAGCTTAATAATAACAGAAAAAAATATGCAATAGAAGTCTAAGTACTTTACTTTTATTAATGTCTGAAATTCTCACAACTGTTAACAGATATAGTATTATAATTATTGTCTTCCAGGTCCACTACACTGAGGTAGAGAGGGGTTACATAAATAGTTCAAGGTCACACAGCTGGTATGCAATGGAACCAGGATTGAAATCCAGGCACACAAACTCCCAGACACTCAGCTCTTAGCCACCATTATTTTGTTATCATTGACAACTACTCTGGAATCCAAGAATTTTGAAAATAGATAAGATGGATGCTTAAGCATAATTGCAAGCAGTTTTTCTGATGTTAAACCAGAGTTCATTTATGAACTTTGAAAAAATTAAAACTTTTTCTGACACTATTTTCACTTTGTACATCCTTATGGCATACCTGTAACAAAATGAAAAAAATACCAGTTAGAAGTTAACAGTCTATTACTCTACCAAACATTTGGCCATTATGTTTCCTTGAATTGTTACAGGCAATACAGTGCTTTCTGTGCTATCACAAGATAAAACAGTGTTGTTGCAGAGCATACAAAAATGCTGAGGACTTTAGTTGGTGCTTGTTTTTTTCAAAATATGGAAAATTTTTTTCCAGTACTATAATTTAAGATAAAATAAGCAAATTCTTCTGTAAGTCTGTCATTTTACACTCTGTTACCATTCAAAGATCCTTGACAATATTGAAGTTTTTTCCAACTTTTTTTTTTACTTTAATCAAGTATAACAAAAATGTAAGATCTTTACAAATAAGTTACACATGTTTAAAAAAAAGAGTGCCGGGGATTTAGCTCAGTGGTTCTGCCCCCTGACTCTCAAGAGCAAGGTCTCGAGTTCAATCCCCATTACCAAAAAGAAAAAAAGAAAAGCAGTTGAGCAAGAAGTTGTAGCCTTCTAACGTTAAAGAATATTTTAATAATTTAAAGCCTTCATTATAATTGTGCCTGCAATTAATGTCATGCAATTAAGTCACAGATGTATGAAAACTACCTTAAGAACTTTGAGAATTCTTTTTTTTTTTGTACCTGGGATCGAACTCGGGACCTTGGGCTTTTGAGGCAGGCGCTGGCACCACTGAGCTAAATCCCTGGCCCCAAGAACTTTGTAACTAAATATTCCTCATGCATGAGAGCAATGACAAATTTACCTAATACAGTTTCATGACATGCTAAGTAGCAATTTCACATGAAATCTACTTAGGATATTTGTCAGTATTGATGACTTGCAAGTTCTAGTAACTTTCATCCTGAATAGTTTCAAGATATACCAAGAGTATCTTCATCTCTATGAAGGTAAGAGGGATACACAGCCATTGTTCTCTTGTTTTTTATCGACCTCCTAGGTAAAATCTGAAAAGAGTATCAGTAGACACACTTTTATCTCATTATACAAATAATGATCAATATTGAGAGGGAGAATGTTTGAGTAATAGTTATTGATTATATAATTTCGATGGGCAGGCTCTATAAGGGCTTCCCATTTATTTTTATATTCTGTTATTTTAATAATTAAGAATAATTTTAAAATAAAGAAACTCAAATTCAAATAATTAAAGAAAGTAGCTACCTGTTAGTAAATAAAGGCAAGATTCCAACTCAGATCTTTCTGACTTAAAAACAAATTTGGCCATGCAAACCTTTGATCCAAACTGCCATTCTAACTCCATCTTCCCTCATCAATATGGGTGTATACTTCAAGGGCATCTCTGTGATAGTCAAGTGGAGCAGGGGGAATATGGAGCCTTTAAAGAGATTAAAAATATTTAAAAAGAAAAGTAGGAAAGGCTATTGTAGTTGGCAGAATTCCAAGGTGATATTCAGTGGCCCATGCCTTTGTGTAAAACCTTCCATCTGCGTGTGGGTGAGGCTTGTGAATAGGCATCACATTCCTGTGATTAGAGAAGATGGCACATTTGACAGGAACAAAATGACTACCTTTGGTGGAGATGATCTAATCAGGTGAGCCCTTCCAAGAGATGGGGTTCTTCTAGCTAGAGAAAATTTAAGATTCTCTGTTTCTGGCCTTGAGGACAGAGGGGACCATGTAACAAGAATTTCAGGGCAGTCCCTAGGAGCTGACAGGCATCAACAGTCAGCCATCATTAAAATGGGACCTAGTCCTGTAACCAAGAAAGTCAATTACACCAACAGCCTAAATCATTTTGAAAGAGGCTTCTTCCCTATACCATCCAGAAATGTATTCTGGCACCTGATTTTATCATTGTATGAACCTAAGCAGAGAATTCAGATCTATCTTCCCTGCTCATTTGACATACAGAGCTATGTGCTAATAAATGAGTGTTATTTGAGGTAGCTAAGTTTTGGGTTAATTTATTTCATAGTAATGTAAAAGTTATCCATTTATAATTATACTTTGATACACCTAATCCAAGGATAAATTACAGATAAATACAGAAAGTATCTGTCTATGTCTATAAGTTGGTCTGCATTAAACAAAATGTCCATTAATCCAATCAGCTGGTCATGAAGCCTTTTTTTTTTTTTTTTTGAAGTCTTTGCACAGTTCACCTTCACAAAGAAAGTGAGGCAGGAAAGAGAACAATGAGCCAGTTAAAAGCATTCTCAGGTTCCTAAGACAGTAGCAGCTGGATTGCAAGCTTAGGGAGAAAGATTTGCTTTGGAGGCCTAAATTGAAAATCCACTATATATAAATGGTATTTAATGTCTCATAGTTGGGTAAGGTAATGAGTGCCTCCTGTGTAGTGGGCTCTCAAGTCAGTATTCTGCCTACCTCGAGTCATTTAATATTTTGGAAGAAATATCTCAATTTAAAAAATGGAGCAGTCATGTTAAATATGTCAGCATTATCTTAACCATGACTGTGTGACTGCAATTCATTGAATCCTAACTATACATTACTGTGTTTATCTACTGCCTAATTTTGTCTGGCATAATCTAGCCCAGAACAGGGTTAGCCCAATGGCAGAGTACCTGCCTACCATGTGAGAGGTTCTGGGCTAATATTTAGTGCTACCAAAGGAAAAAAAAAAAAAAAGAAAAAAGAAAGTAAAATATTTAGTAGGTTTTAAATGAAGTATACAAAGAGATGACAGGAATTCTTATTTTTGGTGGAGAATAGTGAGCATCATCCAGAGAAGCAGATTGATTTGCCTAAGATTAATGTACAGGATTAGAATCAGCAAGCTTATGGCTCTTCTCATGCTTTATAACTTTGCAAAATTCCAGAATTTAGTTTTATAGGTCTCACATGCCAATCCCCTCTCCCACACTCCACTCCTGGCAGTTTTCCTTACTTTCCTGAAAGAACCCAGAATTTCTGAGTATTGCTACAATTCACATTTAGGGGGACTCTTTCTCATGAAATACCATATTATGCTCTGTTAAAATGTTTTAGCAGTATCCTTGGTCTCTCCCCACTACATACCAGTACCATATTTTCCCACATTGTGAGAATGTTGCCAGATGTTTCCATATATACCCTGGTAGAAAAAAAAAATCCCCGGCTGAGTACGAGCCTGTCTCTTGAATATGCTGTGTTAAGCTCATTCATAATGGATGAAAAATGGGAAGAAAAAAGGAAGTCTAGTTCTTCTGTATTTAT